CAATGCTTTAGAGGAGAGAAAAAATCAGGACAGGTTAAGGGGGATCAGGAGTGTCAGGTTGTCAGGGTAGGAGTGTATTACAATATTAAGTAGAATCTGGGTAGGCCTCAGAGAGAAGGTGAAGTCTGAGCAAAGAATCGAAGGGAATAAAGGTGGTAGTCATGCAGGTATCTTATAGAAGAACATTCCAGGCAGAGGATCCTTACACAAGGACCTAAAGCAGAATCCTGTATGGCATGTTCCAGAAACTACAAGAAGGTCATTGTGGTTGAATAAGTGAGGAAACTACAGAAGAGAACGTTCTAGAGACGAAGGGGGGGGCCAAGGTTACTCTGAGTGAAACCGGGTGGATCGCGGGGTTTGGAAGCAGGGCATGGGATGATTTGAGTGATGGCTCAAGAGGAAACTCTGCCCTCTGAGTTGAAAACAGTCTACAAAGAGGCAAGGGAAGAATAAGACCACACATACAGGAACACCACTCTGTGTCAAGCCCTTAAGATCACTAAGTGCTTGTTGAATTAATTAATATATGGTGACTGAACTACAGAGGCTGAAGGAAAAGAGATACAGACATACATGGAAGAAGTAAAAAGTGATATGTCTTCACGTCTTTAGGAATCAGGCATAGTATATTAATATCATACCTTATAAGTATGTGTGTGTGTGTGTGTGTGTGTGTGAAAGTGTGTGTCTATTTCTATACATACATACAAATATATATGCTTGTCTTCTGTGTGTAAGATAAATATCTTCACCTATTTTATGCTACATGTATAATTGTCTGCATAGTTTTTTGTTCATTAATCCAAACTCCTATAATAAGGGTACTTCCGTTTCCTGTAAAATCACACTCTAATAGTGCTTAGCTGAGGTGGATATTTTAAATTCTGAACTCAATGGAGGAAGTCCATTCTCACAGAAATAAAGGTCATGGTTTCAATTTCCATTTGGGTATAAGTTTTAAATGAAGAAAAAAGTTTTTTCTCCACCACAGATGCTTTTTCAACCCTGGCAAACTTATCTGTGAAGACTTTGGACACAAGAAAGGGCTAAGAGAGCGAATCTGGAAAGCCTCCGCAAAGCCCTCTGGAGAGAAGGGAAGTGCAGACGGCGTGTGGCAGGATGGCCATCTATGAGAAGCAGAAGACATGTAAATTGTACTATTTTTAAACATGCCAATATAGTTTCAAGACTATCAATTTCAAGCTTGGGCAATGCTAAGTTTCGCAGATATTTATCAAGCACACACTAGCTACCCGGCGCTGGAATGCGAAGCTGAGCGGGCGGTGTGCGTGCCTGCGCAGTTTATTGCATTCATCCTCAACTGGGGAGATGCCACCCCCAGGGAGAGCAAATTTGCCCTTGGGTGAGATAAAACAACAATGAAAAGCTTATTCTTTTAATGTATAAAACACAGATACACGTGCTGTACATAGACACACAGTATATCTGTGGTGATAATATTTCATGATAAGAAGGGACTAGGACAAAAAGTCTAAAAAGACCCCTGAGGAAGGCAATAACAGCAACATGGCTCAGACACCTGTGTATCAGGAAGAAAATAAGCAATTGATCCTAATGCAGTATGCTAATGGCAGTGACAGGGGAAGTACAGAAGGTCATGGCTGTACAGCCCAGGGACACCTAGCTTGGCACAGAGGGGATGTCAGGGAAGGCTTCCTGGGAGAGGTGGCACTTAGGCAGAGATGTGAGGTGTGACCAGTAGGAATTACTCAGGCAAGTGGGTAGGGAATGGTGTGCTAAAACTTTTACTAAGGAAAATCTATATAAACTCCTAAATTATCTAGCTTGGCTAATTTGGCTAACTAATTTACAAAGTTAAGCAACAGAGAAAACAGTGACAACTGAAAGCTGCCACAGTTTTGCATTTCATGTGTATCTTCTCTCAGACAAGAGCCTTCTTTCCCGTTGTCCGCCATCGGCCCAGGAAGGCCTCACTGCCTCCTGCCAGAGAATTCCAGCAGCCCCTGAACTGTGTCCCTCCCATCTTCCCACGGCAGAACCACACGGAGCTCTCCGAGCGCTGTGCCCAGCGGAGCCGCCAGAGCAGCCCGGGTGCAGGTCTCCACCCCACACCTGCGGCTAATCCAAAGCGGCTCTGTAGCCGGCCAGTTAAGAGCTTGTGGAGTCAGGCTCTAACCCGCGGAATGGAGAGAATTCAGGTATCCCCTTAAGTTAATAGTTCTTAAGCCTTAGAAGCTAATGAAAACCGTAGAACCCCCTCGTTCCTCCAGTCACAAAATGCACAGCGCCTGCTGCGAGTGCGCCAGGCCTGCCCTAATCACCGGGGACAGAGCCACGCAGAACAGACAGGGCCTGTCACCACCGAGTTTCTTTCTCAAGGAGCAAACGCAAATAGAAAACACATGAGCCAATAAATAATTCTAATAATGTCATTCATGATGAATGTTATAAAGTCCGTCTAAAAAGGGCATGACGGGTATGACGGGACGAAGGAGTGACTTCAGACAAGGAGGTGAGGGAACAGAGCGACCTCGAGCTGAGACCTGCATGGCAAAGAACCAGCTCCCAGAGGGTCTCAGGGAAGGGCACCCCACGCTCAGAAAACAGCCCTGCGGTGCAAAGGCCCTAAGGCACAAAAGAAAACGCACACAAGCAAAGCTCGCAGCGGACGCGCACCTGCGCGGCTGTACTGCCATTGACAGGTCACCATTGTCGGCATCAGTGGTTTGATGCGTTTTGCCATCCTATACCTGGCTCCCAGGAACCCCACAATCTGTGATGCGGGCGGTGCAAAGGCAATATATGTAACCTAAATGTTTGTACCCCTGTAATATCCTGAAATAAAAACAAACAAGTAAATAAATAAAGGTTGGTACAATCATAAAAAACCTAATGTCTCTAGGAGCCTGCTTCTCTGGACTATGGCTGGTTCCAAGCTGATTAGTTGGTGTCCATGTCCTATCATTTGTTAAATATTTCTAAAATGACCTCTACACCAAAGCCTTGTATATATGAACTTGTCATACAGTTTTAAAGGTCAACCTGATGCCCTCAAATCCATCCTGTAATCTTGACTAAGAACCGTTGCTTTGTCCGCTACTGTGGAGACTGGCGGCGCAGTGACTGCTCATTCCAGCAAGTGGGAGGCAGCTTTCCTCGTTCCCCCCAGGAAACTTTAGTTCTGCCACTCATTTAGTTTGGGGCCATAGGCAAGTAGCCTAGAATTTTTGTGCTCCAGTTTCCTATAAAATGACAACAATGATAATATCTCATAAGATTTTTGTGAGGATCTAATGACACAATGCAGGTAAAGCCCTCGAAAGACTTTGGCACATTAGAAATTATTTCATGAGTTAGTATACAAATTGTGAATTCCTGCAAAGCTGTGCCCACTGCCCCACTCAAATGCATTCTGTTTCTTCACCCTAACTGGCTTTTTTCTCCATTTCAATTGGCCGAATTTCCACCAACTTATAAAGCTCAGATAAAATGCCACAATCACCACAAAACTTCTACTGGTTTCAGCTTCCAAAAAAGCCATTTCTGTCTTCTGAACAACTATTAAGACATTGTTTATACCATTAGTCTAATCAGTTACTGCCTCAGAAGGAAATTTTGTATACTTTGCTGGAATATAAATTCATTAGAGAAGTACTATCCCATAGAAATATAATTAGAGACATACATAATTTAAAATATTCTAGTAGCCACATAAAAATGTTTTTAAAAAGGTGAAATTAACTTTAATAATATTTTATTTAACCTGATATAACCAAAATTAATTAATTACTTAATTAAATTAAATTAATTAATTACTGATTTACTTAAAATTAGTACAAAGTCTAACCCCAGGGAAAACATATTTTTGCTGTTTATAAGACAAAAAGTAAAAACATGGAAAAACAGTTTTAGCTTTATTTAAAGAAGTTTGCTTTTCCTCAAGAGTGGTAAAATAAATTTTTTAATTCTATTTCTCATTAATAATACAGTTTAGGGCTGGGCACGGTCCAAGCATTCTGGGAGGCGGAGGTGAGCAGATCGCTCAAGGTCAGGAGTTCAAAATCAGCCTGAGAAAGAGCGAGACCCCATCTCTACTAAATATAGAAAGAAATTAATTGGCAAACTAAAAATATATATAAAAAAAAAAATTAGCCGAGCATGGTGGTGCATGCCTGTAGTCCCAGCTACTCAGGAGGCTGAGGTAGTAGGATCACTTGAGCCCAGGAGTTTGAGGTTGCTGTGAGCTAGGCTGATGCCATGGCACTCTAGTTCCGCCAACAGAGTGAGACTCAGACTCAAAAAAAAAAAAAAAAAATACAGTTTAGATGTACTAAGCCCTGGACCACTGAAAGAAATTGTGTATACATCAATAAAATGTATATATTTGTATGTTGACTTGTCCTAAGAAATAATTTAATCCTACTTTCTGACATAAATAAAAAGTTTAGGTAAGAATAACTCATAAAGCAAACAGTAGGACTTGGTAAGTCTCAGTGAAAATATTTTGCTGTCATTTTCCTAGTCACCATAATTTTTTTTTAAGTGCTGTGCTCTGAAATGTATTCAGCGTTTTCACAAATGATTTCCCAGTTACTCAGATGTACTCATGATAAATGAATGCCATTATTCCCATAGTCATTGAATTGCTCTTGTTAGAAAGGCTGATTTGAAAAAGATAAAAATCCTAGCATACATTCCACCACTCTAAAATTGGACTTATCTGCTCCTTCCTTATCAACTTTATTTGTGTCTTTTCTTCCAACCTTATGTATCCATATTTCTGCAAAACTGATTGTGGTAGAGAATTATAAAGAATTAACAGAATATGGTAATTAGAAAAGAAAGATGAGGCATGGTGGCTCACACCTGTAGTCCCAGCTACTCGGGAGGCTAAGGCAGGAGAACCAAGTTGCGGTGAGCTATGATAATACCACTGTACTCCAGTACCTGGGTGACAGAGAGACCCTGTCTCAAAAAAAAAAAAAAAAAAAAGAAAAAGTAAAACAACAACTCACCTTTGGCAATCTCAATGGTAATTTGCAAATTGGCAACTCATGGTTTTCATAAAGTATGAGAGATTGATCCAAGTTGGGGATTATCTTCTCTTTAGGTACTTTATAAACGACAATGGTACCCTTATAATGAGGGCAACTATAGTTACCAAATTCATCCACCTCTTTAATTTGGAGTTTCAGCCTGGGTTTTCTTTGCAAATGAAAAATAAGTTTGTAGTCCTTTCCATAATCCTTCCCATTGCCTAAATATAAGTAAAATGCATTTGTTACCGTTAAGTAAGACACAACACTTTGAGTTACTTAATTTTTTAAAATCCAAATAATCATTTTAATTGTTAAATATGATTAAAGCTTTTTTTGTATCATTGTCTCTTGTCAAAATATAACCTGATAAAGCAGCAATAGGCTGAGACTATCTAGATGACTTAAAAGATTTCTCATCTGTAATTGAGCCAGATGCTCTCTAAATCTTTCCATCCTTTATTTCTTTTTCTATTTTGCTGTAACCAGAAACTACTGGAAATATTCAGATTTTACAATATTTAAAAAACTGTTTTCACCCTTTGAGAATTATCTTTCTCTTTTCTGCTAACTATTCATACATTCTAAAACTTCTGTAACATGTGGCTATTTGAGTGAAAATTAATTAAAATTAAAAATTCAAATCTTCAGTCACTCTAACCACATTTAAAGTGTTCAATAGCTGCATATGTTTAGTGGCTACCTTACTGAACAGTGCAGACATAAAACATGTCTACAATTGCAGAGATGGACAGTGCTCTTCTAGAACTTCCAAGCACTATTGTTAATGGACTCATGTTACTAAAATTTCTAAGAAAATTTGGTGGATTCTCCTAAAATAATGATATGTAAATATTCTCAACTCCTCACTGAAAACACTAGAGCTTTTGTGAACATAACCTTTCACCCGGAGGGGTTTTAGCAGGAGAATCAGGATATTTTACTTTGTTATTTCAATAGTAGAGTGAAAACTACCATGTTTCTTAAAGCATATATGTCTGTACTACACTTTGTGAAATTTATAGACAGCTATAATGTAGCAGCTGAAATAATATGCTTTGGATATGAAGATCTAAATTCAAGTCCGGCCTCTACTATCTGTCTACAGTATCATATTCATCCAGTTATTTCACATCTCTGAACTTCTTGAAGACTTAACTTCTTTATCCTTAAAACAGGAAAAATAAAACTTACCTCCTAGGATCACTCTGGAAATGAAATGAGAAAATATGGATAAAATGACTGCCACAAGGCCTGGCACATGGTAAGGGTAGCTGTTCAATAAATATGTATTGTTACTAGATGTTCCTTATAACAATATATTTTCTTCTCAATGATGGGCATTGAATATTTCTCATTGATGAGATAGAAAGTGCAAATGTAGGAATGAATGCTTTTGCTTAGAAAAGTCAGGCAAGGGTTAGCAGAAAGGGATAGCAATATGGAAAACCGGAAAAATCCTATGAGAATCACTGGCTCAGAATATTTCTATATTCTAACCTATTCTCTGTCACCTCTACCTCTAAGCCACTGCCATCTCTGGTTTGCTTTAGTACAATTAAACATCAACTGGTCTCCCTGCTTCTACTCTTGCTTCTACAATCTACGCTCAACACAGTTGTAGTCTAACTCGGGTTACTTCTCTGTTGAAAACCCTTCACGATTCCTGATTTAATTTAGCATAAAAGGCAAAGTCCTTGCAATAGCCTACAAGGCATGAGGAGTCCTCATCTCATCTCCTGCAACCTCTCCTCACTCTCTCTGATCCAGCCACCCCAGCCTCCGCCTGCTCCTCAAACACACAAGGCACATTTCTGCCTCAATTCACTTGCACTTGTAATCTCTCCACCTGGGACAAGCTCCCCTGAGACAGCATGATGGCTTGCTCTCTCACCTTCTTAGAGGCTATTTATGTCACCCTCTCAAAAAGGTCTATCCTGACGACTCCTTAAAACTGCAACCCCCTGCCATTCCCTCTAAGACTCTATCTTTCTTCTGCTTTATTCTTGTATAATTCACTTTTCAGCCCATGTTAAACTGTATTTTATTGATTTATTTGCTTATTCTCTATCCCTTCCCACTTGATTATAATATAAATATATAAAGGCAGGGAATTTTTGTTGAGTGAATAAAAGAATGGTTATTGTAGCATCCTACATATGTATCGTGGAGGAAAATCTCTTCCCTAAGCCAAAGGGCATCCAGGGCACCTCTGAGGCACACAGACCTCCACGGGCATTACTGGATGTTATGGTTGGTGCACGGTGTCAATATATAGAATCTCATAAAAGCACTGCAGAGCCCTTTCTGAACTTTATGTGCACTGGTGGCTTGGATGTCATGCAACAGAAAGTCTAGGTGCCGAACTGGCAGCTTTAACCTAGAGAAGGAAAGGATGCTGCAGCTTGTGTTCAGAAGAATACCAAAGATCAACACAAAAACCAAGGGGAGTGCCTATATATCTTACTTCCTCTTAGAAATAGAAATAAAGTCCATGTCCCATTAACCTCACTCAAAAGAGTCATCATATATTACATAAATGAATAGGGGGAGTTGAGCATTTTTCAAAGGGCAGTTGCCTACATTCATTAGTCAAAGTTGTTAATATTTTAGTCACACTTAGTACTATATTGTTAAGTTCTTAAGCTTTTGACTTCCTTTCTTCCAATAAATAATCACTGAGCTCCTTCTAGCTGCAGGCCCAGTCCTCTGTGCTAGGAATTGAATGGTGCTTCCCACAGGGCAGTCCCTCTTCTCATGGGACTGTAGTCAGAGACACTGGCACTAAATCAAACAATTAAAAATTATGTCTGCTACAGTAGGAGAGAACTAGAGTGAGGGGAGGGGAGGACAACCCTGCAGGCAGAGAATCTCTGGCTTCATCTCTGTGATTCTCACAGACACTACCCCAGGCCCTGATGGAAGGGTGAGGTATCAATTCTGTGCTGAGGGTCTTATTCCTCTTAGGCAGAGAAAAACCCAGTAAAGCTTCAGGTCTGAGCACGGGTCCCGAGGAAAAGCGAAGCATACAGGACCGGGCATCCTGCCTGACTTTTTTGTTGAGTGAAGATGAGCTCTCCTCGCCCCCGCCCGTGGGGGGAACCCCACGCCAGCTGCCTTTGGGCACTCCCACTGTAGCATGCGGCCCCAGTCCGCATTGCATACACAGTGCACACGGCACCCTCCTGTGAACAGCGCAGCGACTCACTCCTGTTTAGGGAGTAGGTAAACACAGCTGCTGTCCCAAGTATTGCAGGAAAAGCGTTTGCATCATTAGTTTGGGTGGGACACTTCTGGTTTTCAACTATTTCTCATTAGAGAGATTTCCCCAGGATGGACACTGGTTTCTGCTCCGGAAGCCGAGTAGAAAGGGATCTCTTCCACCCTTCCTTCCTCTTCCTCCTCTCCCCACCCCCTCCAGCCTTCTCTGACCTCCACGTTGCTCACTCACTGAATCCTGTCAGCTGACTCGGCTGGCTGAGACCCTGCATGTGACAGTGAGAGTGGAACAGGCTTCAAACCAAGACACTTGGGCCAAGCTTATTCCTGAGAGACCAGAGAAAGGGCAGCCTCAGCTTCAAGCCTCATTGTTTTTTGAAGCAAGAAAAAGCCAACGGTGCTTGGAGCCATTTCCTGAATCAGAGAAAATAGATATCATTCAACTCAATAGAATGCATATTAATTGATTGTATGAATAGAGAATACCACCTCAAGTCAAGTGCTCCTAGGCCAGAAATCCCCATTTACCCACCTTTAATTCTCCCCCACAAATCACTGCCACACACTCCTGTAGAAAGGAGTTAGGAAGGGAAAGGGGCTGACTTAATAAAAAAGCAGTCGCTGTAATAGCAACTCCCCAAAGACATTTTGCTCTCTTTTCTCACACAGCTGTTTCTCTCCAGGCTTTTCTTTTTCTTCATTTCTCTCTTTATCTCCCTCCTTTTATCTCTTCTGTCTCAGCCATTCCCTCTCCTCTCCCGCCTCTCCTGCCACCTCGCATACTCATCATCCTTTAAAATCAAGGACATCCCTCAGCATTGTCACGTGTCCAGTCATTTACGACACAGCTGCGAAGAGCCTTCGGTGTGCCAGGTCCTAGTGAGGCTTGGAGGAGCTAGAACAAGACACCACAGCACTGCCCTCATGAAGTTTCACTCCAGCAAAGAATGTAATTATATGAACCAAAAGTAAATAAATAAAATAATTTCAAATTGTGATAAGATTTATAATGGAAACAAACATAACGCTAAATACACATGGTGATAAGAAGAAAGCTGGGTAAGTCATCTAGATCAATTGTTATTAACCTTTTTTGTCACAGATCCCTTTGGAGTTTGGTGAAAACTGTCAATTGCTTATGAGAGTAGTCTTTTAAATACATAAAATAAAATCCATGGAATTGCAAATAAGGTAATTATACTAAAATATAGCTCTATCCACATATCTCTTGAGGCCACTGACCCTAGGTTAGATTCTTTGTAGGACATCCTGAAGACTTTTGATACTATTTTAGGTAGAGTAGGAGATACTAACAAGGTTCTAGTCCGAGGAATAGCATAGCATGGTTTGTGCTATTCAGAGAGCACTCCTGTCACTGGGTGGAAGCAGGTTTCACGTGGCTCACGGTGGGAGCAGGGAGCACTTAGAAGGCAGCTGCATAGTTGTAGGAACAAGATGGTCCTGGCTTGGAGTCGGGTGGTGACTGCAGAGAAGGCTGTTTCTATAAAGAGTCACTTAGAATATGCCCATAAAGGAACACGCATCCCTAGTAGAGAAGCAAGAGCCTGGGAGGGAAGAAGTGTATACATCTTTTCTCTTCCTTCTTCCTGAAGTTTCCCTTCAATCCTCTAAAGGTTTCCTTAGTAACACAAATTATGCGAACTCCTTCTGAAGTTTGTGGCTTATAGCCCATAAAATATATAAAAAGATTTCTTTATACTTACTTGAGGCAAATATATTTCCAGTAAACCGTAAAAGAAGTTGGTCTCCTTCTCTTACTTGGAAATGCGGAGGCGGCTCTGGAGGCGCCCCAAACCCTTCCCCGCGCAAGTCCTTGAGTGCCTGGTGCGCGTCTTCGGAAGGCACGACTACAACAGCTATTCCGTGTGGATTGTCCTTCTGGCAAGACAGCACCAGGCAGGCGGTGGTGCTGAGCACCGCCTCCTCTAAAGATTTCACAAAAGTAACCAAATGGCTATTGTCCACAACAGAAGACAGGCGAAACACAATAAACCTGCGTGGAAGAAAAGAGGCAAAATGACAGAAAAATACGGGCTTAAAGACATCACTGATATTTAATAACATCCAAGAAAAATGCCATTATCATCCAAATTTCCTTTAAAATCAAGTATTCTGATGACCAACAGGTTAGATTCACGAATGACCTTAGTGAAGCTCTTGGCTGTCAGTAAACCAGCTCAAATCAGACTGAATTCCAAAACACATTCTTTGAAAAATCCACACAGTTTCAGCTCAGCTCTACATATGGCAACATATTTTAAGTCTTAATTGCCATTACCAAAGAGCATTATTTAAAAATATATAAGAGAAAGATGATCAAGATAATCCATTACTCCCAGCAGGATGCGGAATGTATAGCCTAGTTAAATGGGGACTGAAGTATCTGTCCCTGTCTCTGGACGGTAAGGATTGTTACACCGAACTCTGCTACTGATTGAATTGCACCCCCATTCGTAGTTGAAGTACCAAACCCTAGTACCTCAGAAGTGATTTTATTTGAAGATAGGGTCTCTACAGAGGTAATCAAGTTAAGGTGAGTCCTAAAGCAATTTGACTGGTGTCATAAAATGGGAAGATTTCTGCACAAAGAAATGCACACATAGAGACCACCATGCAAATACTATCTATAAGCCAAGGAGAGAGGCCTGGACACATCCTTCCCCACAGTCCTCAGAAGGAACACACCCTGCCAACACGCTTTGATTTTGGATTTCTGGCCTCCAAAACTGTGAAACAATAAATTTCTGCTATACAAGCCAACCAGTTTATGGTACTTTGTTACAGCAACTTTGGCAAACCAATACAGACAAGTGCTTTTGAAAAACACTCATCACTTAGATTTATTTTTACAGGTTTCTTCTAACTCCAAATTAGTTTTAAAACAGCACTTTCATTTCTGAAATTCCATGGAGATGGTAATTAACTGTTCATTTTATGTTTATCTCCGAGCTAGGCCGCCTATTCAATTCTTCTGCAGAGACTTGCCCACAGAACCTCCTGGTCCTGAGCCCCCCACACCTACAGAGCAGGACTGACCCCTGCGGGGTGGAGAGCCAGCCTGCTGCTGCTGGCTGAAACCAGCCTTTTCCCAGCTCCCTCCCGTGCCCTGCAGGATTCACCAGAGCGCCTTCCCTCTCAGTCACTCGCTTCCCATCTCAGACTCTGTTTCTCAGGCACTTGCTTCAAGACAATCGTAGATGGAAGACCTCCCATTATGAAATAAACACTATCTTTACACATTGCCCTCTCTTTTTGAGTGGATACGCCTCAAGAAACTTAAATCTGTCTAAAACTCTTCTCATAAAAAAATGGGAAGTCTGGAAAACATGGAAATGAGAAAGCAAAATGAGGGCACTGAAATAACAAATTCAGTTTATATAGGCATAGTTATGAGATAAGCATAATATGAATGACTAATTACTATCTCCATGGAATTTCAGAAATAAAGGTGCTATTTTAAAACTATTTTGGAGTTGGAAAAACTTGTTAAAATAAATCTAAGTCATGAGTGGTTTCCAAGAGCACTTGTTAAACTATCAGGAATGAAATTACAGATAGCATATTCATGTCAATTCTGGCTTGCATTTTAAGCATACCCTAAAGAACGGTTCATATTCCTATGTGAGGGATAAAAATTTAATCCTATGACTCCATTTTTGTAAACATCAATTATGGACCATCAGGAGGGAATATCATCAACTTTGTTTGCTATTGTATTACCTCTCTAAATGTTCGCGCAATTGGAATGATATCGAGCCATTCTGTGCGGTTCTCACCATGGCGTCATCAAGCACAAACCAACCACTGTCTCGGCTTCTGAATCCCAGTAATTTCAAAGATTCACAGGCATTTTTCCCAGATTTTCTTATGGACGTGCTTTTTGTCCTATTTAATGATAACAGAAGGTAAATTAGTAAAATTTAATAACATAATTAATATTTAATTGCAGTCATTCCTCCATTAAGTGAATAATCCAATAACAATTCATTGAGTATAATATATACTATGTGTCAGTCTAGGCCTTCCACCAGGAATATAAAGATTAGCAATATATGGCCTTTGCCCTACAGAAGCACACAGTATCACAGTATTATCTGATTGTAGCACAAGGTGATCTATGTGGTAATTAAAGAAATGCACAGAGTGGTTTAGGAGCGGAAGTGGCAAGGTGCTCATGGAAGTTTGCAATGTGAACATGCTGATATGTAAGCATTTCACTAGTGACAAAGGTTTAAGGGAACACTTCAAAACATTAAAAAAGTTGCTGACATAAATTCAGATGCTTTAGGATAACAAAGAGTGGTTGTATAGCATAACAGGTAAGATGACAGACTCTAGACTCAAACTGCCCAATTTCAAATCCTGGGTAGCTGTGACTCTTATTAACTGAATCACTTAACCATGGGTAAGTGATCTGATTTCTCTGAATCTCAGTTTTCTTATCTATAATATGAGAATATTAATACTACCTACATAAATTAATGTAGATACTATCCTTAGTACCTACATTGCTAATAGTTGTCAAATTATTAAATGATTTAATATTGGTAAAGCACTTATAATTGCAGTGAGTATGAATAGTATTAATTTTCTCATCATAATTCCTACTGCAGACATAGCCAATTAGCTTTCTTGTACAATTTTCCTTCTTACATTACCTGCCCCACCTGAAGGCCCAGTGGGCTGAATATACCATGTGATACTTTTCCCCAAGCAGAGTTGACTTGACTAACAGTAGACCAGTTTCTAACAGCCAGCCAATTTAACTCTCTTTCTTCAGAATTTGACTAAGAGTCTCAGAGACTGTAATTTACCACTGTTCTTTTGTTATAGTACAATGAACTATAAAAATTAATAAACCGAAAGAATATTCAGAAAGAAAAAATAGATACTAAGAAAGAGAAGGAGAAAAATCAAGATAAAAGAATCTATATAGTGCTAGAGATGGAGAAAGCAGAGATTAATTATTGTAGCCCTGCAATAAACTTTTTTCTTGAATTCATTTAAGTGGGTATCTTTTCCTCACTACTAAAGGAAGAAAAGTCCTTGACCATGGGGATCTTAAAGAAAAAAATAATGCCTGGCCTAATGATACTACAATCTACAAGGGGACAGAACTGTTCTAGCCAGGTCCTAAGAATAAAGATGCAACTGTGAATTTCACATCTTTTTTTGCAAAGTGGACTAGAGTTACAGGCTTAAAACCATCTTACTTTTTCATAGGTTGAGCTGTTGTATGACCCATAGATTAGGCATTGAACTAGATCTAAAACGCCTGCTCTGAAACCTTTTAGTATGTATTGCTTACTTCAGGGTACTAGCCAGATTAAAATCAGGAGCATAGGGTGAAAAATAACATTTAGTTTTTGGCTGCTGGATTATAACTACAGATATAGTACATTTTGTAACCCTTGTTAGTTAATAATTTATTCACGCAGGAAGATATACTCATACTGAATCCAGAACATTGGTCATTTACTAGATACTGACTTAATCGTAGTGTTGACTTTTTTTCTAATTCACCTTTTTCTGATAATATCCCAGATTTTCTGTGGGGATCTATGGGCTCCCAAGTGTGGTGGAGCCACCCCTATTCCCACATCCATGTAGGCACATATGCTAAGGCAAAGAGTGCATTTGGCTGTCATTAATGCTGTTCACCAAAACAATCAAATTTCCATTTGTTCCATTTGAGTATAAGATAGCGTTATACTTCCTGTTTCCTATGGTTGGATGGGTCATGTGACTAGTTTTGATTAATGAATTGCAAATGAAATAAATATGTCTCACTTTGAGTCCAAGGATTTAATTACTAATGTGTGTCTACAAATGTCTTTCTTCTGCCATCATAACAGCAACTAGACAGTTGCTGCTCTGTCAGCCTAAGTCCTGGAGTGAGAATGACTAAAAGGCAACCTACCTTCGATGGCCACACAGTGTGTGTGAGATACAAAGACTGGCATTACAAACCCATGGGATTTTGGACTTTTCCTATCTGCCACACTGTAGGCTAATGTGCACTATATAATATATTTTCCTTCTGATTCCAGTAATCTATTCAGTGATGGGTTTGTGACACATTTGGAGTGAGAATCAAGCCCTGGGTTTGTGCATATTCATGGGATAAACAAGCTTCCTCTTTTCCGCTGAACTTGGAGCAATGAAGATGTAGCCATATTAATTGCATGAGGGACAAGCATGTCAGAGAATGGAATTGGCACAGCAGAGGCAGATAGAGATGAAGAGAGACCTGGTTCTTTCTGGTTCAAGAAAAAATAGAAAGATAAATATATCTCCAGATTTTTAATTTAAATAGATGAAAGAACTCTTTTATTGCTTAAATATATTAGATTTGCTTTTCTGTCACTTAACTCAAAAGAGTCCTTAATGACATAAAGATCAATTTTAGACTTAAACATGATAATAGGCACAATCCATATGCAAATTAAATAATTTGATGGTATACTTTTGTCTCAGCTGTCTCACAGCTCTGCAACTAAACTATTCCCTCACAGTCCCTATTCAAACCAAATAATGTGATGGTATACTTCTGTCTCTCAGTTGTTAACAGCTCTGCACTAAACAATTCCCTTTATAAGTACTATTAGCAAAGTTTGACAACTAATATTGTCTGGCAGTGAATAACACTTGATCAGACTACACAAAAGACAACGTTTTGATATAGTGATAGTTCCATAAAATATAGTAAATCTTTATTCTAAAAATTTGTTTATTTAAAAATGATCAAATTGTGCGTAGGACTCTCTCAGACAGTGCTAAACTCTCTGAGGATACTGATGAAAATGTGCATGCTACTTTATATGTAGAATAAATAACATATGATGCAGAATTTGACAAGTAATCATATAGTTGAAATTGTCATATTACATCATATTTTACTTTCAGGATACTTCCTTTGTGACATACATAATGCAGAGATATTTAAATGTGAATGTCATTAATGTTTTAGGATTAACTTTTTCTTAGAAAACTATAATTTAGTCATTAAAGTATCAATTTTAAATGTTATGCTGCACTCAAAAAATTAAGGTTTTTCCTATTTTATGTATATTTATTTTTATCCCATTATGTATATTACATGTATATTTATGTATATCACATTTTATGTATATTCCCAAATTATGTATATTGATTACAGGACTATTTTAAAATAAAAAGTATATAGAAGAAGAAAGTACACATAATCACATTGTCTAGAGCCAAATACTACAATATACTGATGAATTCCTGGTAACCTTTTTTATATGCAGATTTTTATTTGGTATGTAAAACGGTGACCATATATACTATGTCAAATTGCACTCCTAATTTTAACATTTGTAACCCATGTAATCACTTTTGGATATCAATTCAAATGACTTAAGTTCCTATCACACTAGTGAGAGAAAAATTCTCTCCTAATTCAACGATCGTTTCTGGCTATAGGCCCATGAGCCCTCGGAGCTTTACCCAGTTTGAGGCGTCATTGCTTCCAGTAACGATCACTACACAGAGGGCACACTGCGCATCCACGCAGCCCCGTCTGCACGCGTGGTCGCGTCCTCCCGCTTTGCGGCTGCGGCCGCGTCCCTGCTGCTGCGGCAGAGGCTGCGGTGGCCTGGTGCCCGCCCCTGTCGGTGGCACGTGCCGCGTCCCTGCTGCTGCAGCAGAGGCTGCGGTGGCCTGGTGCCCGCCCCTGTCGGTGGCACGTGCCGCGCCCCGCAGCAGCTTTTCGCAGTGTAAAGAGGAAAAGCCAGGAGCTCTCTCCTCAGTGTTATGCTATGCATGATTCGGTTATTTCACCCGGAGCGTGAGTTCCCAGTGAAACTGCACCGCAGCGGACCCGCTTACCCAGCCCCCAACACGCACACACAGTCCTTTTTTCAAAGAAATGTCCACGGTGCTGGAACTACCTTGCATTTTGTCCAGAGCCAGCCTTATCGGTGAGCCCAGGCTTTCCATTCAGATTCCCTCCTCCCTTACGCTATTTGTTTTATAGTTGGCTTAAGAATATCTACTTTAACCCAACAGAAATGTTACAATAATGTTGAGACTAAGGGAGAAAAAAGGAGTTATGACTCCAATTTCTTCCTTCTCAGAGGCTGTTTCCACTCTACAGACTTACTGCCCAACCCCAGAGACAGTAAGTTCCTACACCAAGGACTACATCGATAAGGTAGATTTATTGGTTAAGACTCTGTGGGGTACAAGAAATAGAAAAACAAATCCATTTTATTTAATTATAAAATGAATCAGTTATTATTAACATAACACTTTATTAATGGAGTAAATACACAAATGAGGAGAATCCCAGATAAAAACTATATCTAAAATTCAAACATTATCTTTATTTTTTTCTCTTCTCTACACCTTTCTTTTTTATCTCTATTACTATTGAAAATTTTCCCTAAACAGCTAAACATGACCATTGACAACTTCTGAGTTTTATATCCTAAAAAGACTACCCAAGAAATTGACCTTGCTATTTATAAATCCAAGATTTCCTATGTCCAAAATAATAGACATTAGGAAATTATGATTAGCCCATTTTGAGTCAAGTGTTTAATTATACATAGGGACAATGGTGAACATGAAAGTACCCATTAGATCTACATAGATAGAAAGGGAAATCTGCAGATATCATAGTACAATTCCCAAAAAATAAGGTGCTCGGTAGGAGAAGAAATAGATGTAAACTCCATGCTGTGTTTTCTCAAGTCTAACAGTGCCCTGTTACATCTTTCCCGGATGAATGCCTTAATGCCACACAAAGGATATTCAGAAGATTTTTTCAAGATAAAAAAAATCTACTCCAAAGGACCTCAATATTTTGTCTCCACAAGTGGAAACAGACAGTATTGAGAACTTTTCAGGGGTAGTTTCTT